CCCTGTTTTGGAACCTGGTTTGTGTTTTTTTTTGGTACGAGCGTAAGCCAGATGTGTCCATTCCACAAAGGAAACTCTGGCCTGCGCACTGATGATACTCTGCTGTGTTTACCTGTATTTCCTTCGCCGTGTCAGAGATCTTGACGGTGCAGTTTCGGTCTGACTCACTCTTGCTTACTGCTGTGGAAATGCATTGACTCTGCAGTACTACGACGTGGTTGCATGAATGAATAAAGCACCTTTTCCTAAAGAGTGTCCGGGGGACGTGGGTGTATTTCTAAACCTTTAGGAAACAGCTTTCATGTTTGCCAAGAAGATCATTTCAGGAAGGAAAGTGTGTTACTCAAAAGCCATTCATACACTTTTACCCCACCTCCCACAAACTTCTAAGGGTTGGGTGTTCACAAGAAATACTCAGCAGGACAGCAGAATTGTGTTTCTGCAGTAAAACAGAGGCATTTAGGCAAATGCTTTTCCCCACAGCGTGGCATGCGGAAAGGTTTGTCCTGGACATGGTCCTGGGCAACCTGTGCTGGCACAAGCAGGGCTTGGGCTCGGTGGTCTTCAGAGGTCCCATCCTCTGGAGCAGGGTGGCATCTCGCGCTTCTTATTGAAGGGGCTGCCTGTGTGTGTAGCTTTTCTTATGTTGGCAAGCTTTTATGTGGGCAAGTTTTTACCTTTTTTTGCCTTCTGTCATTGCTTTCGGACAAAGGAACACTGTGTGTTTTATGCACTATCTATTCTAGATACAGCTTGGAGGATCCCCTAGATTTCCGGGCTATCATAATGGTGTGTTTCTTTCTTTCCTTTTCAAAAATCCCCCATTTCTCATCCCTTCGGATTCAGGAGATCTGCTGTCAGTGATGCTCTGGGTGAAGCCGAGACTTGGTGGCCTTTTATTCACCTTGTGTGAAGAACAGTTTTGAAGCAACGGCATTTGCTCTCTCAGCGGCCCCATCGCTGATGACTAACAGTTCCTGATGGGTGAAGCATAAAGTGGACTGCCTTTTTTTTTTTTTTTTTTTTTTTAAGAATTTTTTTTGCTGGCAAGGCATGACGTCGGATTTTTCACTTCTGGAAACCTGCTTTCTAGCACCCTCGTCGAAATTTGCAATGTGACTCACATCGACCTCAACAGGTAAATCCCAAATTACTCTTTGGAAATTTAACCCATGTCATTGTTTTGTCTTGTAACATCTAAGTGTCCAGAAATAGGTTACTAATCATGAATAGAAGACGTTATTGTGACGTCTAATGTGAATTCTAATATGACACAGAAAGCACATTACATAAGAAGTTCTTAACGGGTCCAGAACTTCCATTTGATCTAAATCAAGCTGGAATCATCACCTAGAAGCATCAAGTAATGGAGTCTTCTCCCATCGGTAGATTCAGTGTTTCGGTGATTAACTCAACTGAGAAATATTTGCACTTTTTAAATTGCATACATAAACCTCCCAATATTTGGAAGTCTGCTGCAGCCTATAAGGCAGGTAGAGAATAACATCCCTATTTAATATCCTGCCCTGGGATTTCAGGGTGCCCTCTGCCAACCTAGAAGAGCGAGCTGTGCTTTTTCCCCCAGGTTGCATGTACTCTGCCGTTCTAAGCCACCCTGCGAGGGGTGTGCGGCGTCGCGGGTGGGGTCGGTGCTGCTGCAACACCCTCTTGTCGCCGGGTCTTCTAACGAGCCCATTGATGCAGCGTCAGGCCATCTGCCGGGTGAATGATGCTGCCCGCGTCCATCTGAGGCTACTTCCCGCTCCGCAGGGCAGCAGTTACAAACGGAGGTGTTATTACCTTTCTTCTCTTCTTTTCTCTTGAAATAAGTTGTTGGTGGGGATTTTCCGATGCTCACAGCGATGTCCTGTTTCTGTCCATATAGAAACCGATGAGATCTCGGCACTGGTGTTTCAGGGAGCGTGTGCTCCGAGCGAGCATGAGGATGAACGAGGTTTTCTCAGAAGAACGCAGTATGTTTGCAGGTAAGCCAAGAAAGTAAAAGTATGCAAAATTGGTCAAATATATGGTCCATCTTGACTTACCCAAATATCTCTTGCATTGCCTGTTTTTTTGAGCATCCTACGGAGGCAATTTTGAGCACCCCCTGTCTTGAACAGGTCATTTCACAAGCGCTGTTTTGACGAGTTTCTTTTTTCTAGTTTTGGTATTACTGGGGTGTGTGGATCTTCTGGAGAACATTGTCTTTGTCTTGATTTAGCATCAACACCCTGGCCAATAATACAAATACAAATTATTTATAGTTAGAAGACAGAAACTAGTTATCATGAGAAATCAGATAATGCAAACCAGCTGCTGGGAAGCATAACGTGACCGTCGGGGTGAATTACGGAGGCACCTTCACTCACTTTCCGCAGCAGCATCAGGCTCTCGGCCTGAAGCCAAACATCAGGCTGGGTCACTCATGCCCCGGAGTTTTGGACTGGTTTTTTGCATGGTGCAGAGCAGCTCACGCTGTGGGTTGAGAAATCCCGGGCTTTCTTTTCCACCCCTCCACATGCAGACAAGCACGTGCTGCGGCTGGTGATGCCGCACGTGACGGCGGGTCACCCCCGGTGCCATGAGGGATGCTGGAGCATCCCCGGTGCTGCCGGGGGATTTCCCGTGCGCCCCCGCCGTGGCTTTCCGCTCCGAAATCATTAGTGCGATAACGCCATGGCCCCAGGGACTCCCCTGCGACCGGCTGAAGCCCGGGCTCCAAGCCGGTGTGTTACTCAACCAGAAAAGAAACAGTGATGGCCGTGCGAGGCTGCATCAAATCTGACGTTTCGGAGG